GAGAGAGAGAGAGAGAGAGAGAGAGAGAGAGAGAGAGAGAGAGAGACGGAGACGGAGATAGGAACGGTTAAACAACGGTGCAAATGAGCCTCTCTAAGAAGATAATTAGCGAAAGAGTAACAGCTTTTGCGTACGCTACAGTCGCGAAGATAGACTGCAGTTCTGATAACAGCTAATCGTATTAAGAAATAAGATACGTTTGGATATACAGCCATCAGCTGCGTCTTTTTCTCTCTATTTGCACTAATAATTGGATGAATAAATAAATATCGAGAGTTTAGTATTGTACCATGAAACACGTATCTCATCAGATTAATTACATATTAATTTAATAGAAACTAAAGGTATTCGCAGAAAATTTGCAGGAAAATATGTGACAATTTTCAACAGTGGAAACAATAAATATTGCTGATGATCCTCTTTCATTATTCTCCGGAAGCAAACCGCAGATAAATCTTCCCACTTGCAGGAAAACGCCTACTACTTGCGCGATAGAACGTTTACATCGCCGATAAAAGAATCGCGCATCATTATTTCCTGCCGCTTCTGAATCAGATCCTTTTAAACATGCTTCGAAAACATGATCATCTCATTATACTAATCTCTGTGTTTTATGTTATATACAATAACTTACTTGTTCCAGGTTGATCGTCAGATTGACCTCATTATATTTCATTCCTCTGGATAAAGGTGGTGATTGCCACCAAGTTTCCATACCGTCAACCGCATATTCAGGTGGATGCTTTTTTTCCGGATTATCAGGATCGCAATAATCGCATACCTGTGGAAAAAACAAAATTTATCATTGTATTGAGAAGAGAAAAAAAATTAATTATAAATAATAGAATCTAATGTACAATATTTATTTTAGATATGAGCTAAAGTAAACGAGAATTTTTGTAAGAACAAATTTATAATTTTTATTTATTTCTTATCGTCACACGCATCCTCTGCTTGCTATATTATATTAAAATTGGAAGAGAAATCTTCTAATAACGAATCTTAATATAAAGGAACGAATTTAGATAATCGGGAGATAGATATGTAGATGAAGATTTCTTTTTCTGGGAATCTGTGTATGACATAGAAAGCTTCTTAATTTCGGACGGGTGAACGATCGAGTGTTATCGAGAGGTCACCCTTATCTTCCGTTTTATCGGGCTTCTCGCTTCTGGTTCTTTTCGGTTTCGTCTCCTTTTACCCACATAGATAGGTACAATGTCGTAAGCTGATGCCTCGTGTTCTCAATGATCTAGATGGATGCTGGATCAGCATTACGACACAATTAAAATACAAAATGCATAGACACTCAGTTTTGATAATTGTAATGCAAAATGAAAATTTTAAACTTTACGCCCATACTAAATAATATCGCAGAGAAATTAAATTTGGAAATTAAGTGTGCATTATTTTTGTACTTATAGTAAATACATTATATACATCTCCATATTACATATATGTGCGCGCGGTTTCTATTTTCGATAACGAAGAATCATGCGTTCGCAGGGAAACACGATCCTACGATCTTCTATCGCATTCTTCGAACACAATCATAGACCCTGCGAACTGGTTTTTAGCTGGATCTTTCGAACGAAAGAGCTTTGTAGGCATCTTTTGTCCTGATTCGCCGACAAAACGCTTACGCGTTAATATATCACAAAGAAATTTAATTTTCGGAGCAGCTAAGAATGGCAATCACGGAGAATTAAAATTGTATTACTTATACAAATACATAATAATATACACAAAAATTCCTGTTTTATTGTTTATAAATTTATTAATGATTAATTTAGTGAAAATAAAATCTTAATTAAAAAATTTAGCGAAAGTTTTTAAATGTTACAAGTATAGAATATTACAAATACAATTGCAATTTAAAGGCATATTATACATTAATAAATTCAATCAACAAGTTTTATATAATAATAAAAAATTAAAAATATTAATTTAATAATATTAAATAAACATTAAATTTATTCAATAAATTTCTTTATATGTTCGCCGTTCGATTGATGAAAGCTATAATCTTCCATCAGTGGTCTCATTCATTTCTTCCGATTATTTATCGTAATTCCCAGATAAAGAGAGAGACAGAAAAAGTGCGAAGTGATATGTATTTATAAATGTTTATAAAATATTACATTTCGACGATGCGAATAGCTATTGATATAAATAGAAAGACCATATAAAAGAAGATAAGAAAAGGAAGTAGTTGAGTAAGAGTTGATGCCTTGAAGCTGATAAACTCTTGGACTCATAGGACCTAATCATAGTAGATAAAATTCGGTGCAAATACTGAAGACGAATATATCACAATTCCCTCGGCATGCGAGAGTATTCATTAAATCGATTTTTATTCTGTTCATATGATATTCAATCAACAGATTATTGTCTAAATATAAATTTGAATAAATTTAAATCGTCAGGAAATGTAATTTTTTGCATCTATGTATAAAAAATTCATTTATAAGTTTTTAATATTTTGTAGTTTCAGCCAAAGGTTAAAAAAAGTGTGTTTTCCTAACTATTAATTTAATTTTGATTAATTAAGTTTTGAAAGAAAGTTTGGTAAATTCGAATTACATACGCGTCTAATAGATATTACACACTGTGTTACAAACATATCAAGCATCTTTTTACAGTATATTTATCGCTGGTATTTACCTGGCCTTGAATCAAGTTGATATCTTCATCCTGATCGGCGTTCGCGCCGACGAGTTTGCAGTAAAGCTCGGGGCCGGTAGTGTCGACGCCGCACGTAGCCGAGGCCACGATCTCCTTGCCTTCGGCCAAATTGAAGTACGGCGGCGTCAGGATCTCGCACCTAGACAGCCGGACAATCAGCAGAAGACCGGCGAAGGTTGCCGGCAACCGCATCCTGCCAGTAGCAGAAAATCCGACACCTTCTCAAGTTCTTTCGCGGAACTGCTTCACTCTTTTTTTTCTTCACTTTCGTCTTCTCTCTTCTTCGTCTCGCTCCCTTCCTCCCTCTCTCTCTCTCCCTCTTTCTTCCGTGAGAGAGATGATGATGCCTGGACGCTTTCTCGGTGCCGACTGTCCAGACCAGACTAGAGTTCATCCAGTACCGTCGACTTGCCAGATGAGAAGAACTCGGTGGGGGTGAAACAGATCAGTGATCTTCAAGTCGGAGTTTGAATCCCGCGTGGACCCGAGTACAGGCATCCTGAGTCGCTTACGTTCCGTCTTCATCTGGAGATTTTTACGCGAGTCTATCAAATTATGCTCGTAACAAAGATTAAAAAAAAATAGAAGTAGATAAAAATTCTAAATTTTATCGTCCTTTCCCTGATATTTTTACGATATGTATCTCATAGATATCGCAAAGTACGGATATATTTGTATATTGTTTATGCATATTCCAATTAAAAATTTTCTAAGAACATATCGATTATTTCTTTATAACGAGATCTTATTGTTATCATTTTTTCTTACGAAAGTAATGATTATATGACAAAACATAACTTTGAAGATCACTGATTTAGAAGGACCGAGACCACATGGCATCTTTCATATGCACGGGAATGAGATTTTGTTTATAGTTTCTTCGACGCTGCATTATCTTACAGCTCAAGACAGCTCTGACAAATATGGAACTCCAGCGTCTTATTCGAATAAAATATACATATAAATTTTCATTGATATTTAATTGTGAAATATATTCGATCTCAAATACAATTATATATTTTTAATTCTTTTGTTTTTAAGGTATGTAAACGTGAGGAAAATAAATCGATATAGGACAAGTCATTTTATTAGCAGATTATTTAAATTAAAATATTTTATTAGCAGAAATAAAATATAGTATACCTTTCATGATTACGCTCTCAACAAAAATATGTCACACAAATATGGCACAGTTATCTATTTCATAGCATACGCTTGCGACTAGATGTATAATTTCCCTGTTTTTTTTCTTTTATTTAATCCTGCTTTAACGGGTGGCTTCTGTAATAAAGAGCGGAGAACATGATGCTGGAACTCAGCAGGACCGAGATGATAAAGTTCCCCAGCAGCAATATATCGGCAGAGTCCATCCATATGGTGAATACTCTCGCTGAAACACCAATTGAAATGTTTGACTCGTTACCAGAAATCATTTTATGTATGCGAAACAGGAAACTTACTCAGATTAGTGAAGGCGGATATAAACCAGGTGAGAGGCGATACCGACTCTGCGTTTTTAGCTCGAAGTATAGCCAGCAACTGAACGACTTTACTGGAAGCTGAGATCGGTGTACACATTGGCTGAAAACCCAAGTGTAAAAAAGATGTATCAAAACACAACAGAAGAATTATTTGTAATACTACAATAGTTGTACCTACCGCTAAGAGTGTAAGTACAATTTTGGGAACAATTCCCAACAATAAGCAACTGCTCAGCGTAAAGTATACTATGGCACCTAAGAAGGACCACATATTGATCCTGTTCAAATATTTTAGCACAAAGAATATCAGTATGTACTCCTGCGCTAATATTATCGGATACTCCAAGTAGGACAGCAACGAGTATCCATTCGTATAATTGTAACTAGTCATCACAGTGTAACTGAAGAACAGACATCAATAAGTTATTTATGAAAGAAATAATTGTAAAGGCTTGTATAAGGTATGGTCTCGTAAAGTCACCTTGTCAATTCTAAAAATAATCCTAGCGTCGACATCTCATCAGCTGATTTTACAGAGATCAATTTCAATATCTGTGGAATTTTCAATACGAAGCACATGCCTATTGTTATCAGGCTCAACAAATCCGCAAATTGTTGCAGTAGGGTCATTTTTTTCGTTTTTTCTTGCCTTTTAATCGTTGCTACACATATGTATATAAGTTTCAATTATGTGGTACGCTGTAATAAGTTTTAACTTACATCCCGCTTATCGGCAAAACATCATTTTATCTCATCTTTAATCTCTTTACGGATAAGTCAATAAGTCATAATGCAATTAGCACACATTTCGGCATTCTCTACTCCGTTTCGTGAAACATATGTGTGCCGTAAGATTCCGAGAACTGCCACTTTCTCGCCATTCACTGGAGGTCTGCTTTTTTCGCTGAACACTCTCTGTAAAGTGAAACAGATATATATATTTAAAATTTGGCGAAAGCAAGAAGGGAAGTTCTAGCGCAGTGCGGCCAAGTTTAGTGGCAATAAAAAAAAACAAACCTTACATAAGAGTCGTTCGCGCGTGCTAAGTTTAGGGTCCTCATCTTGCACTTTGGCGAAAGTACACTTATGCTTCGACATCTCGTTGTATTGCAATAATTATTTGAAAGACAAAAATCGCCGCTCGTCACTCTGAAACTAATAATTAAATGCTAAAGTATTTTAGGGTTAGGAAATCTGCCATATCGATGAAACGAAACGATACGGAGCATGCGTTGAGCCTACAATAGTGCGCGAAATATAAAATCTAATATATATAATTTATGTAATGTATAATTTATGTCGGCTAAATACGCGAAATGTAAAAATAATTAATTGAAACTTAATTTTTTAATTATACTTCAAAAGTTTCGTAAAGCTGAGTTCTCCAAATCCACTAAAAATAAGTATACGAAGTCACAGAGTTTACCGGTCCGAGTTGATTCGAATCGACGCGGATTGGTCGCTGACGACCAACAGTGACAGAAATCGACCAATCAACGCACGTGCGCCGAGATCGGCGATTGGCCGCGCGACTCGCCGGTTTGAACTTTGAACCGCTTGAACGTAGTGACGAACGAAAGAGTGGAGCGGGGAGCGGAAACGGCTGGCAATCGAAGGGAGGAGGTACGATTTCACGCGTTCACCGTAATTTTAAATTACTTTTGACGAACTCGGCGGAGTCGCTGACTGGACAATCGAGTTAAACGAAAGGTGAGCGCTGTCCGCGAGAGATCGACGATGTCCGCGACGGGTAAGGTGAGTATAATAAAATACTTGTGCGCGCGATTTAATCTTCTCTTGACGCCGATCATAAGTAGACAGACAAATAGACAAGCGTTTGAGAGAAAGAGAGAGAGAATGAGAAAAAGGAGACAGTGGAAGAATAGTTTGTTCTATGTGTCGGTGTAGTCGCGCGTTATTACGTCGTAGTTAACATTCCGAAGTAGAGTGTTTTCCATTTTTGACGTGCCGGCGAATCGGGGGCGCGTGAAAATGAACATTATACATTACTCCGTTTATTCGCGATAACTGTTGCGATGACGGACGCGAGTTATAATAATGATTGAAATGCAAATTCGATCGCGGTTTCGATTCTTGCTCGAGAAACCCGCTCCCTCTCCTTAATTCTCTCCTCTTTTTCTGATTAACGAATATATTTGATAATGAGAATATTTTCACGCTGATAGCGTGTATAATAACGCGTTAATTGTTGTGTTGGACATGCGCGCGCGGGCACATATGGCTATTCCGCTTTATCGTGAAATTGTATATACAAAAGAAATTTCCTAGATTTCCTCTCTTTGAAATTTTCCAACATTTATAAAAATTGTGTAAATATAATTTTGTGAAAATTGTATTGATTTTATGAAAAACTCCGAGTGTTTTCCAAATTTTTTTGGACACTTATATATTTATTGTAGTTTTAGAATTTTTAATTAAGATTTATTTTTTCAAAAAATTATTTTTGATAATTGTTTACCAATCAAGTTCTGTGTAAATGGCCAAAATAATTTGTCTATTATAGATGCTTACTTAAAGTAATAGATAGGAAGTCTGCTATAATTAAATGGATTAACCAGCTGTCATTAGCATTTAATTTAACGATTTTTAATGATTGCGCGTTTCGACACTTGCAATTCGTTTCTATTTAAAAACTTAAGGATGGTCGTAAATTTTTTTCTCGATGCGTGAATTTGATTTCACAACCGGCCTTGGTTATATGTATATGGCACTGATCTCTTCGATTCGCACAATTGAAATTTATCTCGTAAGTATTTCACGCTTCTTGTTTCCTTTGATAGGCAGTGCTTTACTCTTATTGGCGGAGTTCCTGTTCTTGGAGAGTAAGAATTGGTAAGTGAGAGTTTGCTTAATCTTATATATTATACATATATATAAAACCGTTTCATACAAAATATACAAATCAATATTAAAACATATCTAACTGATGTGGTCTATACAAAATATATATAATTCAATAGCCGCAACAATAATTTATATTGTAATTGTTTTGTTATTTAGAGTAATCAAATTAAAAAAAAAATTACGACATTCTAATTTAACATAAATAATGATTTTAAAAATTAACTTTTAATTTAACTTAAGTTAATTTAATCTTAACGCAACTTTCAATTGTGAGTTTAGTATCTTTTGTTCATGCAACTTTCAACGTAACTAAATTAATTTTTATAACCCATTAACTTTAACTTAACTTAGTTAAAAAAAAAATTAACTTACCCAACCTTTTATTGCGATACACCTGGCCTGATAGATTCTGGGTGTGTCGTATAAATGACATACGCTATAGCGAGAGTGTTAATCTTTATATATCTAATTGTAAGACATTTTATGTAACATAGAATTCTTAATCAGAGTATCTATACAACTTGTAATGTTATTTCATTGATATAAAGATTTTTATTGCTGCTAAAACAGCTTATTATTTTTACAATATGTTTCTAATATTTATCAATTTTATTAAATGTTTGTGATTTTTATTAATAGCATTGAATTTAAAGGAGATACCATACGATATAAAGCCTATTAGTATAATAAAAGAAGATGGAGAACAACATTCCAACGAATTCCGCAAGATTAATCCAATGGAAAGAGTCCCTGCGCTTTATATTGACAATCATACTCTGATAGAGTCTGTTAGTATATTCAGGCTATTATCAATCCTTACAGTTATCATAACTTTTTCTTAGAATTTATTATAACAATTTTTATAATATAGATGAATATTCTGCAATACTTGGAGGAAACTAGACCGACTCCTCCATTGATGCCGGCGGATCCTGTTGAGAGAGCTAGAATGAGAGAGATTTGCGAAGTAATTGTCAGTGGTATACAACCATTGCAAAATATCGGTGTTTTAAGCTATATTGAGAAGGAACGTAGAAAGGAATGGCCGCAGCATTGGATCACTAAAGGATTTACAGGTATCCTATAAATAATAATAAAGATTGTAGTAAGAAAACTTACAATAAAAACGAGCTCGAAATTTTTTCCATGAAATTCTGTAGATCTTAAGGGGTTAGTCTACCCTGAAATAGGCGAATTTTCAGGAATTAATTTCAGACAAAATATCGGTGATACATGAATGATTTTCTTTTCATTATCTTTATTAGGGTTTCAAGAACATGTACAAATTTTTTGGTGTAAAAAAATTTCAAAATCGCGATGAGGCACTCCTTCGCGCGCAACTATGCTTTTCAGACGGTGTACATGGTTTCTGAAATGTGGGTGGTCTAAAAAAAAAAAAAAAATATGGTCATTAACTATATTGTATTGTCTTTGGAATGACGGAGCTTTTTTTCTCTCCTCGTTTTTGGCGTCAAGAAAAAAATTCTTGAATTTTTCACTGCATTTTTGAAAAATTCAGAAATTTTTTTCTTGAATTTTTCACTGCATTTTTGAAAAATTCAGAAATTTTTTTCTTGACGCCAAAAACGAGGAGAGAAAAAAGCTCCGTCATTCCGAAGACAATACAATATAGTTAATGACCATATTTTTTTTTTTTTTTTAGACCACCCACATTTCAGAAACCATGTACACCGTCTGAAAAGCATAGTTGCGCGCAAAGGAGTGCCTCATCGCGATTTTAAAATTTTTTTACACCAAAAAATTTGTACATGTTCTTGAAACCCTAATAAAGATAATGAAAAGAAAATCATTCATGTATCACCGATATTTTGTCTGAAATTAATTCCAGAAAATTCGCCTATTTCAGGGTAGACTAACCCCTTAAATTTAGATAAATATTATTTTTAAAAATAACTTTTTGTATATCTACTGTGTAATCTTTAAATGCTAGTAATATGAACATTGTGGATGTTTGTAATTATAATTACTTATTCTTATTGAGTATCAAGATAGTCAAGAAAAACATTAGATAACAGCACGATCTCCGTATATGTATTAAATAAAAAACGACACGTCTAGTAGTAGATATACGAAATAACAACGTTCAATAACAAGTTTATGTGTATAATCGAGCGCAAACATTGATAATATACTGTTCTTCTCAGCCGTGGAGAAGTTGTTATCATCGAGCGCGGGCAAGTATTGCGTCGGCGACGAGATTACGTTAGCGGACTGTTGCCTGGTGCCACAAATGTATAACGCGCAAAAATTTCACGTCAATCTGGAACCCTTTTCCACGATTCTGAGGGTAGGCCGTCATTTGGAACACCATCCGGCCTTCACTGCGACTCATCCCAATAATCAGCCGGACTGTCCGTCCGAGCAGGCGATCAAGCGAGGAGAGTAGACCCACCCTCTTCTTCTATATTTTTAGGAGAGTGAAAAGAAATGGTTTAACATCATGTGGTATCATAATGACAAAAGGTGAACTGATTTATAGCATATATTATATTCGTATTTCCCATACATTTAGAATTGCAGCAATTAAAAATTCAGTTTCTATATTGTAAATAAAAATGTACTCTAGACAAAGATAAATATTTGTTAAACAACATATAGTCCAATTTATTAAATATTACTATGGTGTCGCACAAGTTAAAATACTATATAATCATTGTTTTAAAAACAATTAAATAACGTAATTTTGACCATTAAAACATAGTATTTTAACTTCTAATTCCTCGATGGTCCGCAGCTAGTGCGATATCATAGTAATATTTAATATGAAATTTTCTCCGTGTGAAACTTAATGAAATGTAAAAACGTTCTCCAGTCGCACCTGGTCTGTTCTTTCCGAGCACGGTCCATTACATTTAATTGCGAAACTTTTATTGCATTCAAGTCAATACCAGCTTTTTGACTTTCAAACGTCTGTGTATATATACTACTTCTGTTGCAACTTTCAAGTTTACGGTACATATAGATTACTTTATGTGATAATTTTTTCAAAATATTTTACATATAATGTAACGACCGTGCGTGCCCCTACTGAACGGCAGCCTTGGCTACCACATATAGCGTCACAGAGGAGCGTTTCTTGGCGCTATAACTTTCTCGCGAGCACCCGGCCGTAAGCTCGTAAAGATTATAGGCGAGCCCGGCGAGTGTCTCTTGGTTAACCAGGCCAACTCCTGCTCCGACAGCCGAAAGGTCCGAGAGTCGGATAGAATGGCACATGCGAGGGGACACAAAACCCTCTACGCCAGCAGCAGCGATAAGTCTAGCAGCAATGCGTGCATATATGTATACGCACACACACATATGCAACGTATGTGCAACCTGCAACCGCACGTACATCTATACACAAACATACACACATGCATGTACATACGACGATTGCTTAGAGATTTACAATGAAAAAGTCAATATGATATGTTTTGAATAGAGATTCGGATAAATCGAGTGTCGTACGAGCGGAAAAATCGTATCATTGATGAGTTTTTCATTATAAATCTTTTTCTTTGTAGTCCATTAATGTAACATTTATTTTCCTATTTTATTTAAGCGCAAATTAAAAAAGATTGAAATACTATTCATTTTTTTTTTAGCATTATATTATAATTAGATAATAATATCTTTTATTAGACTATAAATTATTGAAAAGAAAGGTTTTATTATGACTTAAATTTTAGAGATAAAAATAAATGACGCAGAATTCATATTTATATATACATAAAAAATTTATTTAATATACGAACACACGCACTCCCCCCCCCCCCCACCCACACACATATACCATGCGTCCCAAAAGTTCCAGAACGACAAATTATTTCAAAAAGTATATATCTATTGGTTTATTGAAAAAATGTTTCAGATAAAAGTTGGAGAATTCAAAGGGGGCCAATATATAGACGATCTTATTAAATTTTAGGTCCGGAGTCCGTGCTGAGCCCAATATAGGGCCCAAATCAAATATTTATTAAATGAAAACCCCCATTTTTTATTGTATCATCTTTTTCTACTATTCTTTCTACTAAAGTCTTTTAAATATTTTGAAAATGTCTTTTAGAAGACATTTTGCTAGCTGAGTCCGCGTCTATAATTTTCTTAAGTCTATGACTGTCACTAGAAGTAACTAGAGTTACCGACTTGAGCCGACGCGAGCACAGTTCTGTGACGCGGTGTCGTGGAGTGTCGCTAGCGATCAGCGACGGAAAGCAGCCAATATATACACGTGCGCCAAGACCGCCGATTGGCCGCGCGACTCGCCGGCTTGAACGGCGGACGGAACAACGGAGCGGGGTGGCCGGGGAGAAGAGGAAACGGCTGGCAATCGAATAAAAAGGGGGAGGAGGTGCGATTTCGCGCGTTCACCGCGATTCTGAATCCGAATTACTTCTGACGGATCAGGCGGTGTAATATTGGTGTCGCCGGTCGGATAATCGAGAGTTCGGCGAAAGGTGAGCGCTGTTCCGCGAGAAGCCGACGATGTCCGTGATGGGTAAGGTGAGTGATTTAACCTTCTCTCTCGACGCGAGGTAGACAGACAGGTAGACCGGAGTGCCGGGAGAGAGAGAAAGACAAAAGATAGCTCCGGAGTAGCCCGCACTGCGTGCCGGTGCTCGCGCGTTATTTCGCCGTAATATCTGGAAATGACGTTGACGTGCCGGCGAATCTCGAGGACTGGCGTGCTAAAATCGCTATTGAGTTCCCGGGAGTCGCGATCGCGCCGAAAATGAGCCCTAACGTTCACTCGCGCGACGGCCGTCGCGACGACTGACGCGCGTACCACGATTGTCGACGGAATACGGGAAGTCGAACGTTGCGTATCTGTCGCGGCCGGATTTACTTCCCCGCTCGAGGAAACGGCGCCGACGAAAGGCGAATCTCCCTCGCTGACGAATATATCTGATAACGAGAATGTAACAATAGCGCATATAACGCGTCCGTATGTGCCGGACGCTTACGCGCGCGCGCGCGCCGAACTATTCCGCTCGAAATTCTTGCCTGCGAGTAAAAGCGAGCGAATAAAAATTATTATAAAAATATTAGGCTTGTTTTATGCAAAGCAATATGAGAGAATAATGGGTGAACGGTATAAGCTGAATATAAGATGTCAAGACGATTATTTTCATACAACATACAAGGATAAATTATTTTCAAGCTGAAAATGCAATAGTTAAAACTTACCATGTGTTATTTGCACAGTTACGAACTAATACTTCTACATTTTTCTTTGATCATGAAACTGTAAAACATTTAAAGATCTATATTTTCTCTAAGATTTTTACCATTTATAAGAATTACATAAATTTGTATTAATTTCATGATTTTACAAAAAGCTCTGAAAATGCGTTTTGTTAGCTTTTTTTAGTCACTAGCATTTTTCAACATAGGGTATATTTATTAAGACTTACTTTTTCAAGAAATGTTTATTTTTTTAGAATTTTTATGCAATAATTAATTCTACAAATTGCCTAGCGATTTGTACTTTGGACGCTTGTTTAAAATAGTAGGCAGAAAGCCTACCAAATGGATTGACTGTCATTAACTTCGTAATGATTGTAGAATGTTTTAATGAATGCGCGTTTCGACACTCGCAGCTCATTCATATTTACATCTGCCGGTTGTTTTGATTTTTTTTGGGCGGTGCGTAAATCTGGTTTTATGCAACAGACCTCGACTATGCCGAATTTTTCAGGCCAGTTCTCACAATTGAGCCTTGTATTCATGCTTCTTATTTCTTTTGACAGCCGGTGCTTTACTCTTACTGGCGGAGTTCCTGCTCCTGGAGGGTAAGAATTGGTGAGTGAGAGTTTGCTTGATTTTATATTGCACATACCTATAAACTATTTTATGCATATAAAATATGCAATATATGCATCAATATAAAATATCTGTGATTTATAAGAAATATATAAATTTTAAAGGCTGCATTTTAAACAAATTTATCGTTGCTGCAGGCAGAATTTCCTTGATCTAATTTAATCTTTATGTAAGACATTTTATGTCATTTCATAGACAGAATGAGTTTTATTATTGCTATAAACAGCTTATTTTTTAATTATGTTTCTAATGTTAAAATGTTTCTAATGTTTATGAACTAGCGTTGAACTTGAAAGAGATACCATACGATATAAAGCCTGTTAGTTTGGTGAAGAGTGGTGGAGAACAACATTCCAATGAATTCCGCGAGATTAATCCAATGGAGCAAGTCCCTGCGCTCCATATCGACAATCATACTTTGATAGAATCTGTGAGTTATAAGTATTTTTATAGTTATCTTATTGTTTTCTCAGAATTTATAATGATGGAACTAAATGGCATAAAATTGTTTTAATACAGCTGAATATTCTACAATACTTGGAGGAGACGAGGCCGAATCGTCCATTGATGCCGGCGGATCCTGTTAAGAGAGCTAGAGTGAGAGAGATTTGTGAAGTAATTGCCAGCGGTATACAACCGTTGCAAAATCTTGTTGTTTTAATCTACGTTGGCGAGGAACGTAAGAAGGAATGGGCGCAGCATTGGATTACTAGAGGATTTACAGGTATTTTAATGATAATAAAGATTGTAGTAAAGACTTGCAATAAATGACAAGCTTGACATTTTTTTAATGAAATCTTTAGAGATCTCTTTAGATAAATAATCAATTTTTAATGAACAGTTACGAATGACTTTGTATATTTAAATATTGCCTTTTAAGATGTTGCCTTTAAATGCTGGAAATATGAAGATTATGAATATTTGTAATTTATAACCATTTATTGAGTGCTAAGATTGTTGAGAAAAATATTAGATAACAGAGCGATCTTCGCATCTATTAAAAAGAAAACGACACACCTAGTCGTTAATATACGAAATAACGACATTTCAATAACAGGTTTATGTGTATAATTAAACACTGATAATACTGTTTTCCAGCCGTGGAGAAGTTGTTATCGTCGAGCGCGGGCAAGTATTGCGTCGGCGACGAGATTACATTAGCGGACTGTTGCCTGGTGCCACAGATATTCAACGCGCGAAGATTTCACGTCGATCTGAGACCCTTCCCCACGATTCTGAGGGTGGACCGTCATTTGGAACATCATCCGGCCTTCACTGCGGCTCACCCCAATAATCAGCCCGACTGTCCGCCCGAGGCGACCAAGTAGCAAGCGAGGCAGACCACCCTTTTTCTCTTCTAATCTTTTAGGAGGGTGAAAAGAGGTGGTCTGATGTTATGTGGTTTCATAGTGATAAAAGGTGAATAAGTTTCGTTGCATTTGTCGGCATTTCTTACGCGTTCGCAACAATTACAAGTTTTATTTCTACATCGCAAATAAAAATTAATCTAGAAAAAGATATTTATTACATTTAATGAATATTTATTAAATTAAATAACGTAGTCGTGATTTATCATGAGAATTGATTAAATGTATCTTATACGAATGGGTCCAATCGTTCCAAGAAATTAACTTTTATTTGTACCCTATCAGCTGATAAATTGCGTTATTTTGGTAATATAATGGTATTTATATACTTCAAGAAAATTATTAGATTAATACATTTTCACCTTTTATCATTAATGAACTGCATATTAGCAATGAAATGGCTAGCGGCGCTATGAAAGCGAATATATCGGGCAGGGGTTTTGATTTGAACATCCTGTTGTAATACAATGCCGCTTGTTTTAAAACAAAGATACGCCATTTCTGTATTCATGCAAGAGCAAAGGGAAAGAGGTATATTGGCCTATTTTTTTATTTTGTTACGTTTTCTGCGATTTTACATGATCGAAATTTATCTTCGCGCGGTATTTTTACACGATATTTTATAAAGATATATTGACCTATTCTGAATAGGTTCTGTTGAAATCAAAAGTTTAATTTTTATATACGTATTATCATTTTTTATTTTATATTTGCGTATAGTATGTATAGCATAAACAGAAAAAAAGGTGTCGCTATTAAATTTTAGTGAATATACCCCGAAATCTTCGCTGGTATATAGGATAGTGATTCGTATTTATGTGATACGAAGTACACGCAGACAAATTCAAAACGTGAAGCGATCAAATTCGAAGGGGAACGTGTAATAAGGGAATGCGCTCTGCTCAATATCTTCCAGAATACCAACCAAAAGTACAAATCGCATATTTCCTTTGATATCCCAATTTTAGAATATATTAGATTTGTTCGTTTTGTTTACACTTATATATTTATTGTTTAGAATTATATTTTTACACTGACGTATTTAATAACTTCAACATTTGATCGACACTTATCTATATTTTGAACTAATTTATACAATGGCATAGTAAAATGTATATTAATTCTGCGATCTGAATTATTTTTTGCAAATGAGCGAAGATCAGATATTTTGTCCTGAATTTTATCTAATTTATGGATCTCAAAAATATTTGCTAATTATAATCGCATGCAGTTTCAAATAATTGAAGAATTATACGACTACCGAATGCATTATGTTGAATTTAACTTGAGGTAGGATCGCAAAAAATTAAAGCAATAATTCTTCCGATATGCGCGTGTATTTTGTGACATTTATCTTTTTTGAAATTTTTTAATTTTATGCTTTTAACATTCTTGTAAAGTTCACAGAATACAAGTGTAGAAAGTGCGAGTGAAACGAACAAACCTATTGTATAATTTTTCCATATGATGCTGTTAGCGTGTCTTTTTTACTGCAGGAGAGTTAATTTTTAGGTTTGAGCAATATTTCTCTTCAGAGATAAACAGATGTGTACCGAAAGATGTATAACATTTTTTTAAGTGGGGAAAAAAAACAGACTTGTATAACTATAGTTAGATAATCTGTGATTTGTGTTGTGCGGAACTGAAGTTATTTCAGCCGCTGCTGCAGAGATTAGAATGTGCCATTGAAATACCATTTTATAGTACAATCGCGAACGATTTCAAACGCAAACGAGAAACGCGTGTCCGCGCAAACAGAATCAAAGTATATATTTATGCTCTTACGAAATAGTTTTCCAGTTCGAGCATAAACAGAGATACCGATATTTTTCACGAATCTTTTTATAGGATCGCTCATTGTAAAGCCATTGTTATACATAGTTCCCGTATGTGCTTCGGAAAATTTTTATACGCAAGCGTATGTTCGAACAAAAAGTCAAGTCAAATCATATAGATATCGAACACGACTGATTCTGAAACCGGTAATCAAGTTTCACTTGGCATTCCTCCTTATTGCCGCGTTATCCCTCTCGTCCTCATTTTATAAAACAACACGTCACGATTGCATTTCCGTATTCGGAATATCCATTTTTACCGCAACATCTCGATGATCTCTCGTATATCGCGCACGTTGTGAACTGCCTTTTCGAGACTTCGACGAGTACTTCTTCCATGTAGCCTCCAGCCTTCGCAATTATTTTTCTATAGGAGATATAGTATCGTATAACGAAGGTGTAAACAACTTCGTGCGCTTTCTGACGAAGAGAGTTTAAGGAATAAATATATAAGAATCGTCGCAACTTGAAATCGTCGTCCTACGTATAGTATACTCTTGGGACGGATTAAAAAAAACATGCATTCCGTGTCTAGACATTCACACATAGAGGTATGTATTATAAACGACTGAGTGATTAGATAATATGTATATAATCTTTGTACGAAGCAATTTCCTCTCATTTCCGCTCCACAAATATCCGCGGTATCAACAAGAGCATTTATGAAAACCGATGAAAATCTTCGGTAAAAGCTGCGTGTCTGCTTCATTTTGATAACGGCGTTTTAATGTAGACTATGTGATTCGATTTGTGGAAAGAAATGCGAGCGAGTCAAGTCTGTCTGCGCTGACCTTGGGCGTATTTAACGAATAGAATCTCGCATTTCTGAATGTGATCTTGTATCCCCCTTCATCCCCGTATTTCCGTTCTGCGTCTTTCCGCTCGACTTACAAAAATTTGTACAAGCGACAAGTATAGTCATGTAAAAGCGGAAAGTTGATTTTATCGAAAACGAGCTGTGTTATTGTAGTTATCGGTAGCTCTTATATGATATTAGATATCTAACTCCGGAATATTACAGTTCCATAAGATACGATTGACTTATGAGTAAACCATCAAGAATGAAATTTTACCGTCTAGTTGCAGCCCTGACGTTTCATTTACGAGAAAGTTGTAGTTTATTAGCCTATTATTTGACTCGTAAGAATGTCTTCGATTCAGATGAGGGAACTGATATTTTAATACTAGTGGCGAATCGTCCTGTATTTTATTCTCGCTTCGTAGCTTTCTAAAGTAGAACTATAGAGACATTTTATTTGTATACCTACTTGTCTTTTGTATCGAGATCTCTCGAGTTGGATGTGATTATTTGATTTTTGCCTTTAGTTATAGATAAGACCTACTCGCTTCCGTTGATCCTCCGCAACTCCACACAGAGACTTCTCGCTAAGTATAGATCTTCCTGCCGTCTCGTTTCCGACGAGCTGACGTGTCATCAACGCGCGTGGTACACGCGCTGTATAAGTAGGGAGTAGGGAGTAGGGAGTAAAAAAAAAAAGATATGAATAATGAGTAGATTTGAGCGAAACCGATTTTGCGCTAGTACCGAGTCCGACGAGATAATAACCGTACCACACAAAATTAAGATCTCCCCCATCAGATCCTAAATAGTTTCTTAGACGGCGTGTGACATTTTCGCGAGAGGACGAGCGTGAAGTCGTTTAAGCGAGGAAGGAAGAGTTGTACAATATAGCGACTGGGATTTGTGAAATAGTACGGGACGCGTAGATATTTTGTAAGCGAGAAAGAAAACGAGAAAAAAAAGGGAAACGATCGCTATATATGTTCACGCCGCTTATAGCGAAGTAAAAGATTCTGTGTCGATAGTGTATGTATAAGTATTTCGTAGTAGAGTCGCGAGCGAGAAAAAAAAAGATCAAAACAGTAAGTGCATTCGTAATTGTACACTTATTACTCGAATAAAGAGCTGCGTTTTGTCCGTATTGGTAGATCTTTTTATTACGAGCGAGCTGCAACGAAATTCCGCAAATATATAAAATAATGATTACCCTTGTCGATTTTTTCTGTCCAATGAAATCTGCGTGATTTCCGCGCTTTCACAATATCTTTTTGCCAATAAATTCAATTTTTTTATTTTTAAATTTCTAAGGATTATTTAAATGTTTGTCTGCTTTTCTTTCTTTTTAGAATTCGGTTTTAACATAAATTTTTTTTATTAAGCAGTCTGATAGATCATGGCATACTTTCTTTGTAAACTTTTTGAATTTTTGCAATATCTTCAAAATCGAAGAAAATATAGTACACGAAAGTGTGCTGTGACGTCATACTTTATATAAGAAATGATGTCATACCTTTTGAAGTTGCCGTCATCAAAGAAACTTTAGCAAGCTATAACTTTCTCAAATTTAGGTTTTTTTAAAAAATTCAAAAAGTACTAAAAATCGGCTTAGATTCTCTACATTAATTATGGATACCGCTTAATTAAAAAAAAAAATGTTAAAACCGAATTGTGGCTTGTTGATTAAGAGGTTGATTAAGAATATAACGAACCGGAAAACACAGAATTTTTAAAATAATTTTTTTGTTACTGAAAAAACACATTTTTAATAATAAAATTAAGATGCAAAATTATAACAAAAATACTGAAATAATAAACAATAATATAGCATTCTAAATAATCATTGCATAGTAATCAAGATTTTAGCTTCGGTAAATTATCTGAAATAAAAAAATAGGCATTTTTGTACTTTATTTTGCCATTTTCGGCTTACGGATTTAAAAATTTTATTTTTTGCAAAATACACATTTTAACGTGAAAATTGCGTTTTCTTGAAAAAATTGATTCTTTTTTGTTTTAACTTGAGATATTAAAAGTGGAAAAAAGTGTTTCGTGAACTGGGAATATTATTAAAAGCGTTACTTCAAAGCTTCAAATTGATCGGATAAATCGTATTTGAGTTCACTGTTTTCAAAAATAATATTTAAGAAAAGCGTATTTTGCAATTTTTAATCATTTACTTTCAACTATTAATTTATACTGGCTCTATTCTTATGGCGTTAAACTAATGACAAATAAAAAAAACATTTTTCAATTTTTTGACATTTCTAAAGTCTTTGCAACTCTTTAATCCTCGAAAGTGCTCCTCAGAAACTCTTCAGAGAATCGTGGCTGGGTCATTCTTGATTTTTTATACCTTTGTGTGATTATCCTCTTTATAAAAAGAGGATAATCCAGAGACTAATCTTCATAAGGTAACGAATATTCACCGAGTCTCGGGTGACTCGGTTCCCGCTAGCCAAGCGTTAAAGATAATCTTGCTGATCTTTGATCCGTTGCGTCATATGAGTATAACACTCTGTAATGTCCCAGCTAGCAGGAAGTTCTAAAAGACGTCTTAAAGACATCAAAGACGTTTAAAAGACGACATAATTTTTCAGACATTCTTTAGATACCTTTTAGAAGCTTCTACTAGCCGGGGTGCATCGTGAAATAAAAAGGATTAACGAAAGCGATTGCAAATAAATGTAGGGGACTTACCAAGTGAGAGCTGCATCAAACGCTTCATCTCCTCGCCGTTCTCCGAAGTTCTCTCTTTAAAAAAATCCGATAAAGCCCGGATCGTGAAGGTCAGAGATGTAACTTCCACGACTCGCGATCTCGACGCGAATCGTTAGGCACACACACGTGCAAAGAACTCGAAATAAACTGTCTGGGGCTGAGTTAATTATCCGTACAAAAATAGCTTTTTATTTGTTACTTCTTCAGTTTTTACATTACATGTCGTTTCTCTCTTTATCAAAAGCTCGATAATAAGATCGTTCGAAACGGACCGATAATAGCTCGATCGCCGGCTCCTCTCTGCCTTATTTACAGATAATTCGTCGTGTAAAAAGAAATACAATCCTTCGTTTCTTTTTTTTTCTTTCTTTACTGACTAGTTAGAATAGCATCTCTCATACGCTCGAGATTGATACGCCTACCGGAATGTAAAGAGGAAGGGAAAAAAAAGGAAAAAATAAAGATACGCGTGTATCAGCTAATTGTCGGCGCGCTCTCCTTCACGAGGTACGCACATTGTGTGTGTATGTGTTATATACAAGAATACAAATGTTCACTCAAATATTAAATATAAAAAATCACGTGTATGCGTGTATACGTGTAATATGTATGTCTGATATGTGCGCCTGCCTTAACGCCCGTCTCGTCGCATTTGTGTGACGGAATGAGGCCTTTCGCAAGGGCCGATCGTCACCCACCAACGGGAGGGGGGATTTTTATTTAGAAAAATTTCTAAATAAAATCTGATAATATCAATAATAATTGGATTAGACATAACAACGACGCGCTCCCTTAGAAATATTAATTATCGATAATTCCTGTTTCTCTCTAGAAAAGCGGAACGTCCATATAGAGATCGAAATAACGAAATTCTCTCCCTCTCTCTTCTATTTTTTTCTTTTTGTTGAAATTCGGAGGAGTCATGTCTCGTTCGTTTCGCGAATTTGACGGCGATTTCAAACACGGGATCTCGAACTACGGGATCCTCCAAATTTCCACAAAATTACAAATTGCGCTTCGTTTTCGTTTTCTAGGGCCGAGTTTGTATGTGGAAAGGGAGACCAGAGAGATCTTGGTGAATGAGAAACGATGAACGCGTATGACGTGATCATACTGCGACACTGAATGGACCAATGGATGGATGTATGGATGGTGGCCAGGTCATGAAATGAAGAACAACAGAATGCATTTAATGAGCGATTGTTTATTATGCTCTTATTATGGTCACTTGTCATACAGGTAACGATGCTTTCTCAATGAGTGAAAATAGTTAATATATCATGTTTGTCTGTTTGCTTTTTTTCTCTCTCTCCCTCTCTCTCCTTTACTCTTTCTCTTTCTCTCTCTTTTATATATATATATATATACATATATATATTATACATATATATATATAATTATTCAACATTGAATGGAATAAATTGATGATGAAAGAGAATAACAATTTATGGATGCAAATAAATGTGGTTAGAGTGTAAAGTAATAATATTAAGATTAGCCCTTCGGAAAAAAGAAAATGCCTGTGAACTAAATTATACTTCATCGATAACAATAAAGTGGTGCCCAAAGCGGTCACGTCAAGGACAGCAGATAATTGATAAAAAAAACTTTCATCGACGAGCGAAAGTGCAAAAGTAAAACGCGTATCGTCGCTCCTTATTTTTGTCTTTCTTTCTTTTTGATCAACAAATAGAGGATTCTCTTTATCGAAGCCTTTACGAGCCGTACGAATATGGGTACCCTGACTCTTGTCCGCTCACTGACAAGATCGTGCCCCCTCGTTTTTTCTTTTTTGCTTTCTTTTGCCCATCGTACAATCTCTTACACACGATTCTTTGCCATATATATAACGCTTCTCCGCATAGTCGTCCGTGGTATCGTCGATCATTCAACGTTATCCGCGACTGGGGAAGGTGGTGGTTCCCTTTCCTCAATTTTGTGGGGGTCCGAATGACAGTTCTCACGTGGAGCGTAATCCGGCAAAGAGGGATCGCGCGACGATAAAATCGTGCCAAGAGTCACGTGGGGCTGTCGATCCTGCTAATAAATAACAATTGACACAGCACCGACAAGCTCTGACGGTGGCTTCCGTCATAAATAGAGAGGAGAATGCGCCAGCTCTCGTGACTTTTGGTATTACATTTCTCTCTCGCTCGACGAGAGAGCGTGTATCCCTCTTCTCTCAGGATGCTCTTATAGGGTATCGAAACGTGTGATTCACGTCTGAGAACTGTCGGGGTATCTTTTATTAGATCGTATAACAATGCACCGAGAAAGATCGCGCAAAGGTGAAACGACTGTGATTTCACTTGATTTGCGAGATCACTGTAGTCGCGAATAAAACGAAGATCAACCATACCACGGATGCTCTCTCGCCTCACCTCATCGTATATCGACCAGCCGAATTACAATCTTTCGCCTCGCCTTCCCGAGTCCCTGGCTTACTCGTCTAAAGTATATCCGTACCTTCCGTAGAGTTACGATTAATTATTTTTTACTACTTAAAACTTATTGTAAATATCGATAATCTTAGCTCTTTCTTATCTGAATCGCAATACCCTTTTTCTCCCTTCCCTTCTGTGTTTTTTTTCTCCACCCTCTCTCTCTCGCGCGGAGGGGCGAGAGACGTATCTCGGAATATTAAAAAATACGCAATTTTGCCCATTGCTCGTAATGCACCGTCGTTCTCGTGTCGTGTCGACAAGAAAAAAGGGGGGAAAAACAAGCCGAACCGTCTGTCATGTGTATACAATACACAATTGCGGGTTAAAATGTGTGTAATGAGTGATAATGGATTTTTTCCGTCTATAATCGCGTGCGGTGTAAATGAAACTCGGTAAAACGCATGATGAGAAAAACGCGCTGCCATGTGTGTGTGCGTGTGTGTGTGTGTGTGTATGTACGTTTGCTGTGTATGTCCTTAAATTACTTTATAGCCGAAGGAATGTAAGGTACAATACTTGATCGTGATTTCACCATCGGTGCGAGACGAAATAAATCTCTCTATGGTACCTTCGCAGCCAGCTGCTCTCTTTCTTCCCCTATATCGCCCTCATATATCTCGATTATATATATTTATGTATATATAATATATATGTATATTATATCATGGAAGATAACGCTATTTCTCTCTCTTTCTTTAGTAATTCACCGAGTACGCCGTAATTGCGGCGCATGAAAAGACTTATATCATCGCGAAAGTAAAACGCAAACGCGCGTTCTATCCCTCTCTTTCTATCGGTCTGCAAAATCTTCTATTCGCGTGTAAGCATGCACTTTTGACATTATACAATGTGTATGCGTATGTCTGTGTGTGTGTGTGTATATTGTGTGAACGAATCACGAACATGTGGGATGAGAGCACACGCGCACCCACGTGCACTTGCGATTTATAGCAATATACGACTACTTATACTCGACAAG